CCTCAACTAAACTCTTAAAAGTGTGGGTAGCTCAGGAAAAAAAAAGAAAAGCCTTAAATCTCCTTTAACAAATGCTTGGATAAATGAAGTGAATATGAAAAAAATTGTATTTTAAGAAAACTTTTGTGATCCAGTGCTGGATTTCTAGGACTAATTTTATCTAAAAAATATGAATTCTGTTTTTTTTCTTAGGCCAAAAAAGTAAAACTTTCAATTGTGTCCACATTGCAACACATCCTACAGCTACAGCTATTCAGCAACATTCATGTTAGTAGAGTACAATAAAGTTGTAAGCTGTTCTGGAAGATCTCATTCACGATTTGCACACACAGGACTACTACAGGAGATTGTATGAATTAATTTCCTACCATCCTTCTACACCTCTTCTTCCTGATTCCCCATTTGGACTCTTGTTTAGATTTTTAATCAACTACAATATCAGACACATAAGTAAGGTGGGACAAGAGGAAAATGATGAAACAAAGTAGTCCAGTGCATTGAAAAGGATCATATTAAGATGATTTTCTGGAAGATTAGCTCTCCGTTTTACCCCCAGAATGTGTTTCTTGAACTGTGACAGCCAAAAATCTGACACTGCGCTCAGTGCAGTACAGTCCTTGCCAATTTTTAAATTGAAAATTAGTTTTCAAGGTAAAATTAATATTTCCACTTCAGTAATAGAGGTAATAGAGGTATTAAATCACTAAACATGGAGGAGCTCAATACAGTCTTTAAAATGAAAAAAAATAATGAGGAGATGAGAAGATGATGATCAAGTTAACGTACCATAATGTTTTGTGAAACAGCTTTCTCACTGAAATCATTTGCATACTTTTAATAAAGAGATGGTTATCTGTTCAGGGTGAACACGATACTTTGGAAACAAAGTGTCTAAGAGCCTTCAGGCTTGTTCAAATGTTTATATTTTTTTATAAATTTTGGGCAGAAAAAAAGATTAAATCAGTCAAGAGTTCCAACACAAAATTGATACAGTTGTTCTAAGCAATGTTGATAAAATACAAATGAATAAATTAACATTGCATTTACACCAATTAGCATGTGCAAATGAGACCATCAATTAAAATCTGACCTCTGGCACCCATTCATTGTCAGTTGTTTCCAGTGGCGATAACTCAATTCAAATCAGACTTTTTTTTATTTTTTAATGTTTCATTTCCAAACCAAAGGAATTAAAATGCTGAAACTTTTCATTCTTGGACATGTTCCCTCACGTGCACAACAAAAAAGGTTGTCAGGTTGCTTTCAAGGCAATTACAGTTGGGCTCTTTAAAAAGACTACTGCACTGTCTCACGTTCATGAACCACAGAGCACAACAATGTTCCCTCATTTGCTCTGGGAAAGCTCAGGCCAGCTGCCCAAATTCTTTCTGGTCACTTACAGTACATAACCAAGAACGCGATTTATGAAAATCATCAACAGATATAACTTTACATGTGTTCAAACTAACCTTAAGTTTACGTAAGAGAAGCTTGTCTTTTATTACAATACAATCCAGGTTTATTTATTTATCAATGCACCACAGAACAGCATACAGAGGTGTTGTCGGCAATGAAATGTTTTGTCCGTGAGCTGGTTAAGAGGGATAGAAGGACAGAAGTTTATAGGGATTAGGTTAAGATTACAATACAATAAATTATACAATTGCTACTTACAACACAACTACAGATTGTGCAAAAGTAACACAAGGATAGGAGATGGGATAGGTCCTGAGAGTGCAAGTGACAGGAGGGTGTCGGTGCACCTGTCAGTTTAGGATTAAACCTTGGGAAACCACTGAACATGAAAGACCCTTCCCACCCTCTCAAGACACCCTAACTAGGTTCCATAATAACACCTCCCCACAGGGTGGTATAGGCATAAACTATGTACTTCAACCTCAAAATTGTTGCACAATTCATTGATACTTTTTCACTGCTATTTATCTGCTACTGCTATTACCTGTATGTGTTTATGGCAATAAAGTATTGAAACTTAACTTTGGGGGAGACAGAAGTTTATATTTAACCCCTTTTCTTCTAAATTCACCAAATACTGAACAGGCTAGCTTTTAAAACTAGACTCATAGACACCTATTTAAATAACATGAATCTAGAATTCTAACAGTTTTTTTTTCCTTATTGGACCCCAAAGCCTTCGGTCCCCAGTATGGAACATTACACTGCACGAAACCATTAATTTTTCTTCCTGGTCTGTGAAATGAGAAAGCTCTCTAAAAACGTCAGAATACATTGCCTCGTCATTAGCCAACAATTAATTTTACTGTTGCTATTCGGCAATCTAAATTCCTTGAAAAGGCAAACAATCAGTATATTCCTCTTTCGCTTAATTAATGCTGAAATAGAGACAAGCCCCCGGGACCGAGTAGGATTTCAAATTGTAATTAAAAATAATAATAACGGGTGAAATGAAAACACGAGAACAACTTTTGGCGGGGCAGAACAAACTGGAAGGCCTAATGTTTTAATTAAACAAATGCTATTTTAATCCACATTCATTTACATTTAATTGATTTTATTCAAATTGCAAACAGCCTATCTCTGTCTAATGTACTTTTCTGCCTTTTCTTCCCCAAAATAACTATAAATAGTCGGGAACAGTCTCTGTTAATTCACATTCTAGAAGTATTCCATAGTTAAATGTCACTATTTATTTCGCTCTGCAGCTTGTAAGTTGTATAAAGTAGATTTAAGGAAAATGCATTTATGGCTTATAATTCTTGTTACAACCACAGAAAATTAAAATTGTGTACCTGATGCAGTATAAAAGCCCTTGCCTGATCTGATCTAATTGGTATTTCTTCTCAAATCAATGCTTATTGCTATTTCAATTTTGTAACATTGTATCGGCTGTTATTATTTTGTACTGTGTTAGAATACCACAATGAAACTAAATGGGGGCAACAAGGTTATAATGCCCTTAACAGACTAGGAAAAGGGACATTATTTCATCACTGGAACAGATCTGGTGAGGCGAGAAAAATATCCAAAGAAGGATAAACAGAAATGTGACAATCCGCAGTACCGTAGATATTTTATGTTTAAATACAGTATTTACATATTTTTTATAGTTCTGTTGAAAAATAGGCAATTTACTGATTGTCTGATTTCAGTGAATTAAATAAACCATGCAAACATATTATTTGTAATAAACAGAAATGTAAACAAATACTGATGTCCATGAGGCTTTTTTAATGGTAAGTTGTGATAGTTACCTTTCCAAAACGTATTTCAATCATATAGCAGTTTAAATGATATATTCTAATTGCTTATGCAATTCCATTTGGTGAAAGGTTAATTGGACAGCTTTTCATACACCAAGAATTCAACAGCTCCCTAGAAAATCCAGAGAAATGATGAACCGTGTTTTGTGAAGTTTTGGTTTAGAGTAACCGACTTCAAGTAGATGTGTCTGTGTTCAAAAGGTGTCACTAAGGTTTGCAATGCTCTGATAAATGTTCACATTTCTATGTATTTCATCACCTTAAGCGAGTTATATAGACTGAAAGACTGAATATCTGATTCTCATGTGCAAAATTAATGGGGAAAAGTCTGATGAACATATAGGGATAGCACTTATTATCACATATAAAATCTTGACCAAGTGTATTTTAATACAGTATATGATTCTCCTACAAGCCATTATACCAGAAGAGTTCTGTCCAATACTTAATACAACTCACTACCCTTCGGTAAAACAAGATGAGATAGGAAATCTGTATATTTACACATTTTGCGTTACATTTTAAATTTTTCTACAGATAACATATTTTGAAGTCCCTGATAGACTTAATGCCCCTCACTAAACGTAATTTCAAACTGCAACAAAGACAAGAAATGTTGCACACAAGTATGATTCTTTTTAGTGTGCATATTAATATAATGGGTTCTATACTTGAGTGTCGCTGGAAATACCAGTTAAAAATATCCAGAAACCTACAGGAAGAGGAAAAACTGCTGCTGTGTGACATATAAAAAAAAAGTGATTTTGTAAATCATTTTTCAGCCGGGTAAGGAACAGTAAACTATGTTTTTTCTTCTGTATTCAGACTGTAGGGAGATGACAAATATTTAGGTGTCATTTCAACTACTATTTTAAAGATGAATACAAAATACAGGCATAGCATGGAAGCCTACTGCCATTTCATTTGGTATGATTAAAGGGATGAAACAACTTGCTCTTTTTCCGTAAAGCTCACAAGACAGTGGACTCTAAAAACGTTAAAATAAACAGACATACACAGGAGTGGTTTAATTAACTGCCACCCTTAATTAAACCAGTTGTGATCCCCTGGGTATACAGTAGGTGGCTTTCACACACCTGGGTCAAACTTGAGTAGACTTCACTTTGGAAACCAGTTTGAAAAATACACAGGAAACATGTCGAGATGAGGCATGTTCAAAAGAAAGTGAAAGATCTCGTTTTAAACTATGGCAATAATTGTGACGTCATTTCTTGTAGTATAGACACCATCTTCGTTTCCATTTTCCACTTCAGATAAAGTATTTTTAGAGGTCATAAGTTCACACTCCTTTTATAATGTACACAACAGGTTTAAAAAAATGCCCCCCTCCATCTTTGTTTTATTTAAGCATTAATGGCACTCTGAAGACAATGGGAATTTAAATAACGTACAAGTTGTACGTTTAATATTTCAATAAAATGAAGATCAAATTTCTGCATAAATATCTCCAAGTACGTTAGCCTTGTAACTTCAGCTAACTAAACAAGTTCAGCTTTTGTTAAATTCAAGCGGAGAATACGCGGAGTGACGGAGAGTAACGTGCAAAACCACCAATTTACATCACAAAATAGACCACATTCCCAGATAAACACAGCGCCATATTCTGCGATTCCGAAACAAACCTTCCGGTGTGGTGAATGAGCCTGATTACATTGCAAACAAGTAGGCCACCTCTTTTAATCCAATATGAATATTGCTCTTGAATTCAAGAGGGTTTTGCCCATGAATACCACTTACTTGCTCACTCCACATGCAGATCACATTGGAAATGTTCTGCGGTAAAATGTGTGCTGCATAACTTGTGCTTCTTCGCACCACCTGGATGGGAGACCTCCTGGGAAAAACTAAGGTTGCTGCTGGAAGAGGTGCTAGTGGGGCCAGCAGGGGGCGCTCACCCTGCGGTCTATGCAGTCCTGATGCCCCGGTATAGTGATGGGGGCACTGTACTGTAAAAAGGCGCCGTCCTTTGGATGAGTAGTTCAGGTGGTAGCTGCAAAGGAACAAGTAAAGGTTTATTGCATGCTGAAAAGAGAAGAAAGGAAACGCGACGTTTCGGCTGTGATTTACAATGTAATATTAAGAACCTCACACCCGAAGAAGGCTCCACAGCCGAAACGTCGTGTTTCATTTCTTCTGTTTTCAGCATGGAGTAAACCTATTACTGGGTCCTTTGGATGAGACGTTACACGTTAATCAGGCGTCCTGATTCTGTGTGGTCATTAAACATCCCAGGGCGTTTCTCGAAAAGAGTAGGGGTGTAACCCCGGCGTCCTCTCCAAATTTCCCTCTGGCCTTTAACAGTCATGGCCTCCTAATAATCCCCATCTCTAAACTGGCTCCATCACTCTGCTCTCCTCCCCACTGAGAGCTGGGGTGTGGGGAGCGGACTGGCGCATCATCCAGGTGGGGCTGCAGACTGGTGGGGGTGGAGGGGATCCCCATTACCTGTAAATCGCTTTGAGTGTAGTGTCCAGAAAAGCGCTATATAACTGTAAGCTATCATTACTATAATATTAGGTATTACAGTGTTAAGTGAGCAGTAGGGGACGATTTGATATCACAATTCCCGCGAAGACCGGGCGAGACCAGGAGTTGGCGACAATATGGGGGTATATCCGCTACATCCTCAAAGATCACGATTTTGTGCTTAATTCGGAATTCTTAAAATGTTTGGATGCCTACAATAAATTATTGTTATATTCAATATGATTTGTCTTCGACATTTAATATTAAATTGCAATATTCGATATCAATTCTATTGTTACCGAGATTTAATAACCCGTCTGAGAAATTGGGACTGCATTTCCTATTTAATCTGCACCTGTCATGTAACTGTAGAAGCCCTCAGATCCGAAAACTGGTCACAAATTAGATAGCAAGCCGTTAAAAATGTTATCTACGAACTGTAACAGGGGTCACTGTTTTTTTTTTAGTTAATAATATCACACCGTACAGTACCTGTATGAAACCGTCGTTTTTCTTCTTAATTGTCAGCCCTGATTTCCCTAAATGTAACCTCAAGATTAAGAAACCAAACAAACTCTAAATGCGGGAATTACAGTTTCAGGGTAGACATGGCAGGCGTTGTAAGCGATCAGCAATAAATCACAGTTAAAACGCATGAATTATTAATTACGGTTAAAATTATTCACAAAGTTAACCTGCCCCAATGTCATTTGCTATCCTTCTTTAAATATCATTTCAATTACTGCACACGGAGAAACGTCTAGAGACTGACAACAGTAGTAATAATTCCGTACCAAGAAATCAGTGATCAAAATGGTGCTCATAGTCTCTTTGTCAAAAGATTTTTTCTTTCTTAATAAATTATAACTGAAGCGACATAAATCTAAAATGGCAATACATAATAGTGGTGTAATTAAACAGTCAGAAAATTAATTTGAATTTAATTTCACAATCTAATCTGAGAACATGGTAAGAAAAAAGACTCAAAATATGGGGGGGGGAATTTAGATTAAGCTAAATTTAGATTACAAAGCAATCTATTTTCATCTATGCTCCTAAATTTGTCCACAATGTTCAAATCACATATTTATATTGTGTCCAATCACAGCCACAATAATAATAAGTTAGATAAAACAGATGCTGTTAATTAAAAAATATCAAATTAAATTCCCTGAGTAGTGTCAAGTTACCATATCACTTTCCATGTTTGTCTAAAAGAATACACCGATGTACAGTACAAACACAATAGACTTAAGTTTCATGCGAAATTATTTCCTTGGTCCATAATTTCAGTTCCATTTTAAATATTGATCAGTAAGGTTTCTTTACCTTTTGAACTGAATTGTTCCACGGGATCATAAAATAATGAGTTCAAATCTGTTTTTTTCACAGACACACCAGGTGCTCGGTGTTTGGTTTAAAAGTTGAGCTAAAAGAGTCCAAATGGCATTGATTAAGGATCTGTCTAAATATCCATTAAAGCAGGCGTAACTTAAATTAACACAAGAACGCCAAAAGATGTGACCTTTCCCTGAATCTTTAATGAGGGTCGCTCGATTGCCATTGATGTGATTGAAGGCAGCCTGCTGGTGAGAGATGCCCAGAGAATGAAATTATGGACCCAGACAAGGTTAGATCAGTGCTCAATTCATGGATGAAATGTATGGCAAAAATCTTCGTTAAGCATTGTTTTTTAAATTTAAGTCAACAATGGCGAAATGCTTGCAGACATGGTCTACAATGATGATGATGATGATGATGAAGAAGTGTTTGACTAAAACTCAGATGAAAATGAATTTCATCACACGGGGTCAGTTGCAACGTACAAAAAGCAACGTACTCAATGGGAATGATCCCTTGGTTAGTATCCCGCTCCTGATGTTATGTTAATACAAATTGCAACAAACCTGGCTGCTGAACACACTCCCTAGCTACGTACTAAAAATGTCCTTAATTGCAGCATGACACATCTGGATGTCACTCGAGTACTTGTTTTGCTATTTATCGTGAGGGGGGACACACTGGTGGTTCTTTGAAGGTGCAATGTGGGTACAATGTCTTATTTTTTGTAGGTGTGAATTTAAGGGGTATACTGAATAAAGAAAGATCCCTTTGACCGCGGTCTAGGCTCCAGTAGCTTAATTTTCAGAAAATCGGTGTCACCATCAAAACTGTAAAGACCCAGCTACCCAGAAAGGTCGAGATCCACAGACATAAATTAGAAAGCACTCTCAGATGAAGTGCAACAAATGTAGCACATGACAGTGCATGAGGTTTACCTTCACAGTAGTTCGTACACATTCGTGTAGCCTAAGTGTTTTGTAAAAAATAATTGCCAGTGTGCTCTGTTAAACATCTAACGTGTCTCAGCACTTCCGTCTATCATTTATCAATGAAAATTAAAGCCACTGTGATTCAATACATGATCGAATTCGAACAGTATCCACCAGCAGCTGCTCTCATTTCACAGCACATTGAAATTCATAGAATATCATATCGCTTAGCTAGTTACAGTATGTGCCCTCATCTGGACTATTTTAGAATACATTTATTTGTTAAAAAAACGAACATTAAATCACTAGCATTCAGATATATACAGTATACAGCAAAGTATTAAATACCTATATTAATTTTGGCCATCATATTAGCTTACTGGTACAAATAACTTGAATATCCCGAATCAGAGCCCCTTTCAGTTTCTGCCTGATCGAATGACATCTTAATTCTTAGTACCATACTAAGGATGGGATCAGATGATCTCCAAATGTCTTCCCAGCCTTCTTTATTGAAACCGAGCTCCATACTAAATCAGCAAGTTCATTACAATTGCTCAGAATCAGGCAGCTAGGACCCTGAGCAGGTCATGTGCAAGCAATGACATTACACCTGTCTTAGAGTCCTTGCACTGGCTTCCTTTCACGCTCAGACTCATTCATAAGGCACCACAGTACCCATCTGACGTAATATCTGTCTACTCCCCATCTCGCATCTTTCTTTCGTCTGACTCTGGTCTAGATGTCCCTCAAGCTCATTCACACTGACATATTTTAGTGTTCTCTCGCTGTGCCCCTTCACAGTATTTTGTGCCCCAAAGTTCTGGAATTATATCCCTAGGGATTTCGGACAGCATGCATTTAAATCTGGAATTAAAACCTTTCTGTTCAGAAAGGTGTTTTCTCAATTAATGTCTGTGTCTGCTCCATTTTTTAAATATTGCTGCACTTCTAACTGATTATCTTATATATACTTTGTAATTTGCTATCCTTATAACCGTTTATTTCTTTTAAACCTACTGTGAAGCACTTTTTACTTTTTAAAGGTGCTACTGTACATAAAATAACGTTTTTTATTATTATTAGTTGACTCATGATCTTCACACTTCTGCTGACTTGAACAGGTATAATCTTAGGGCTGTGAGTATGTGCGGGTTACAAGGTGACTCATGAGGCTACTAATATGTGATCATTTGCAATTACTGGGGTGTGCAGTCACTTGTGTGTCACATTTGTTAATCCTTCTCTGGTACAAATTAGTTTTGCTTCACTGACTTCAGTAGTGCTAGGACCCAAGACAGTGAAATCTTCTTGGTGACTGGTTCTTGCTTTTTTATGGCTAAGCCTGTTGTTCGTTATCTATAACGCCACTATTACAAGCTACTGAACTCAAACATATTAAGCTACAGTAGCTTGCTCCTGGGGAACTGTCACTGAAACAATCCATTGAAACAATCCATGGATTAGATCGCTAAATCTTTAGTAATACTAGGGTCTGGAGTACACCATGCTTTCAGCCGGCAGGAAAAGATTTAGAGTCTGGCAGTATTTTACACATGATGAAAAAACGAATTGTAAATTAATCGTAGTGTAAAACATTTCTGAAGCAAAAGAAACAGAATGTTATGAGTTGAATAAAACACAACTTTGAATCAACAGCACCCAGACATCCCTGTGCTGATAAGACATGCATTTTATTTTAACACTGTAGCTTGTCAACAAATTAAATCAAAAACAAAGTTAGCATAATCAATATTTTATCATTTGCACATTAGTAAATTGCTAGTTGTATGTCTTGGTTAGTGATGAATGTGTAAGAAGTAAATTACTCTTCTAAAATGGGAGAGTTGGCTGTACATGCCGAGCATGCTGCAAGTCAGCCTCATAATGGCGCTCTGTGAAACTGAAATCAAATGTCATTCCTTTTATTCAGATCTTATTTTGAAAACTGAATGTGTAAAATGTTTTTTTTTCTTGTGTCCTGTACATTTCACAGCATGTAGATAATCTAAGATACTGGCTCACTGAGGGACAGCCCAAGACCTAGAACATACAGTACAGGGTCAAAACATTGCCTCAGTAATATCACAGTTGACTGATCCATCTTTATAATTGTTTTCAGACTGAAGCATGGGAAGTTCTAGGAAGAAATCAACTATATCAGCAGAGTGACTATAGTTCGCCATCTGCCTGAAAATGATCTTTGCTAGGAGGCTATTCATGAGTAAAATGTTGACAGCTAAGAAACACAAGCGCTGTCTTCTGAGGGCCAGATAACATCTGAGGTGGTAGCAGAGAGTATGCAGGAATTTGTTATTCACCAATTAATGCCCAAGAGACTTGACAGAGCTACCCTTCTCCAGGTGCCTGCTGAGGCATAGGCAGAAATGAAGGCCATCTCACAGCCGTCTGTCCAGAGGCTGATTGGGTGTATGAGTCAACCCTGCCGAAACAATCAATATTTCTGCAACCCCTTTTTGATTTGTGTTGGGGAAAAATAAGGATATGGTTTACAACTCTGTGACTCCAAGATTAAAATTGTTAATGCATTCTGCTCAAAATCAGCATGGTGATTCACAGGCAGTGTGTTGGTAAGGATTTACAGAGACAAAACTACAGAGTGTTATAAAGCATGTGCCTGTCTGCACTTTAATTGTATATTCAATACCATTAAAAGTGAGTAATTGCTTTCTAATTAATCCATACTGTAATTGCACATTAACGAATGGCTCTTAAAATTGTAATGAACATTTGGCAGCATTTTTAAAAGATGAAACATCTTCTAGGCTCTTGTTTTTCTGTGTTTTGGAGCAAATTGTCTTTTCTTTTTCACTTCTTTTTCACTTTTATAGAATTCAGACGGGCTATTGAACCAAAATTGCAGTTGGAAGAAGACAGGGATCATACTTCATCAAAAATGCTGATGTTCTGGAACCTTTTCAAGGTAAATATCCACTGTGAAACATTCTCAGGATTTACTGCAATGTGTTTTTGAATGGGGCAACAGTCAGTTCTTGTCTGCCATATTTTCTTGCTTTTTACTTACACTGTTTTTTTCTAGAACAGTTGGTCAGCTAGTCTGATATTTACTGTAAAGTGACTTTCTAAACCCTTAGATAAAGTTAAATATAAATGAAGCTCAAGATAAAGTATATTATGTTATAAGCAGAATAAAATGTGGTAAAACAAGGTAAGACTTGGGAGGAATTATTGAGAATGGTACAGTACACAATAAACTTTCTTCAGGGCCATGAAGCAGATTGAAACTGAACAGCAGAAAAGTTAGAGATTGTGAAATTATTGTAATATCAAGTCTACAACCAAATTCCTAACAGCCCTCAGACGTGAAATGAAATCAAACTTGCCTTTATCGTCTAGAGTTCAATAGGAATAAAATTGATCTTTCATGGCTCACACTGAAGAACATAGATGCATTAATGATAAAGGAATGACAATTTCCCTAGTTGAATCTGAAGGATATCTGTGAATTAATTCTCCTGAAATATTTGCTAAACCACATGATAGGATTTCTATTTTATTCTGCTGTCCTGTTTTTATTTTCTGATCCACTTTAACTTGAAGTCAGTTTAATCACAACCTTTTTATGTATCTCAATATTAAATTAGTAAACAACTTTTGGGCTTTCCTATTGTAGCTGTGCTTGCCTGCTCAGTCAGGCAAGTATCAAGGGGCCCATATATGAATTAAACTGTGTTTGAAAGAATTGAAAATAAAAAGGCTCTGCCAAGACAGCAATATAAATGTCACTCCCATGACTGACAGTTTTATTAATGCTGATGAAAAAATAACCTTCCCCCTTATAAGCGTATTTTAGATATTCTTACATGTTGACTTGTTATATCAGGCTTAAATAGGAGGGTCATTTTATTTCACTTTCATCAAAACCCCGAACCATTCCCTCCTCTGAGATTAATTCCAGCAGTACTCAAGGAGATTTTAAATTTCAAACATAGAAACACAGTCACTCCTTGCAAAAAGTCTGATTCCCCAAATGTCTGAATGCTCTGGAACTCCTCATCAAAGCCATAAAAGGGCTCGCTCCCTCTTAAAAAGTGATTGACATTCGTGATGTGTGAAATCTCAGAGAGGGAGTATAGTAAAGAGTGATGATCAGGATTAATCAATATGCAAATCTGTCCTGAGAACTACAGCCAAGCATGTTGCTATTCGACACACTGCTCCGTCCTGCTTTGTCACTGGGACAATATAAACAAATTCCTTCTCGTTTCTATATTCCTAAATTCTGAGACTATACTAAAGTACTGTTTTACAAATGTGGTATAGTGCTCGGTATCATAAGGAAACTCTCAAAACTGTAAACGTTATACCATGGGTAGCAATCTGAACTTTAATGGCTCAGAAGGGGTTCCTGGGTGAGTAACAGAGCTGTGGATGTTACTGTAAAAAAGCAACATCCTTGCAAAGACATGGAGACTGACCTGGCCGATCACAAGTTTGAGGTCTTCCTAGTTTCAGCTTTGTACTGTCTTGTGTTCCAAAAGCTGTACGGTAACAATATGCAAGGCAGGATGAATTCTTCATCAAAACCTCTTTCTTGCAATGTTTTATTTTTAAAAAAGCTGTCTCTCTCCTTCCCAGTTCTCATTCTTTTGAAGTGAATGTTTTTTTTTTGCAATCCCGTTCTACTTTGGAAGTCTTCAGGGTGCCCCAGGACTCTGCGATTGTATTAACATCTTTTGAAAAAAAAAATGCTATTTCACAGTCTATTTACACTGATACATTTATTCACTACAAACTTTAAAGGAAGCCCCCACCCTCCTTCCTTTTTCTCCATGAGGTAAAGTGAATCCTGCTGGAGAAAAACGCCAAGGTCGAACGAGCGCGTTTTTCTGCTGGAGAGCTCAGAATAAATACATTTGAGTGTCACAGCAAAAACCTGGAGGTGGAGGTCTTGTGAAGTATGGAACACATTGTGCTGACGAAGGAATTAAAATACAATTTATTTCACAGCCTTTCTTTTTTTGACCTTGCTCACAAACACACACATGCACAAACTGTCACCTGTTCATCAATTTAGAGACAAAGCTAGCTTTATTGTAAATATTAATAGACGTGTCGGAGACAACGGAATTCAAAGAAGCCCTGAAGAGTGATTACAAATGATCAATGACCTGTATGAGCTGAGAAGAGGAAAAAAAACATGTTGGAGGAAATGACCTTTCCAGTTCCTTTCCCAGTGACGAAATCACTCTGCAAACATGGCTTGCTAGGCTACCTGGAAACAGACAGCAGATGCGTTAGAGCTTGCTCATCTTTTGAAACTGGGAGACCAGGTTCTGCACCTGATCGGAAGTGGCAATGACCTTTGACCCCAGGTAGCTGGCGCTGTTGGCGGTGGTCTCTTCGAGGAAGTACCGATAATTCACCATCATCCCACAGGAGGCGGTTATGCCCCTGGCACTGGTGTCAGCTTGCCAGTTAAGCCTCCACAGGACGGCGCCATTCTGCAGGTGGAAGTTAGCCACCGGGTTGATGGCGTAGCCCCGGCGCTTCTCCCCGTAGAGGTACCAGGCGCAGAGACGCATCAGCGCGGGCCGGAGC